ACTCCGGCACGTTTCAAACCGGTCATCATTCTATCTATATGATAGTAATTTTCGTTCCAATCCTCCAAAAAAAGGATTTTATTTTTAAAAGGAGTAACGGTCTTACTCCCCATTAAACTATACACAATGGATAAGTTTCCTCCTACCAAGATACCTTTTGCTTTTCCTTGGGTATCATAGATTGAGGTAGGAAATTTATAATTCATTTTCCCGCTTTCCAAGCAGTTGACCAAACTTTGGTAACTTTCTTTGCTATTTCCTGAAGGGAGTTCCTTTGCGGTAATTCCATGTATGGATTTGAATCCCAAACGATTGACTGCTTGATGCAAAACCGTATTATCGGAATAACCTACGATTACCTTTGGATTTTTCTTAAAGGAAGTAAAATCCAGCGAATCAATAATTTGAACTCCTCCGTACCCTCCTCGTGCACACCAGATAACCTCTACTTCCGGGTCGTCGATGGCGGTTTGAAAATCGGCAATTCGTTGCTCAGGTTCTCCGGAATAGTTATATCCGAAAGAATATAAATCATAGAGATTTTTTCCTAATTTATATTTCCATCCTTGCTCGGTAATAAATGCGATGGCTTTCTGTAAATCTTCTGCTACCAAAGCCCCGGCAGGAGCTACAAGAGCGATTGTTAATTTTTTTTTCATTTGTCTCTTTTTTTACTTCAAAACTCTATTTTATCTTTTATACATTTTCCGTTTTGGGTGTATTTCAGTAGGTCGTTTTCTATGAATTGTTCTATCAAAGGGGCTTCTTTTGCGGGGTAAAGCAGATGAATATTTGCTCCCGCATCTAAGGTAAATCCTAACGCATACTTTCCTTTCTCTCTAAAATTCCAAATTTTTTCTATACAGGCAAGCGTAGCGGGTTTCATTAAAATAAAAGGAGGCTCGGACATCATCATCATCGCATGTAAAGTTAAGGCTTCGTGTTCTACTAATTTATTAAATGCCTCTAAATCACCGTCTCGCAAAATAGGAAGTAGTTTTTTTATGTTTTCATTGGCTGATTTGAATCGCTGTTCTGCATAGGAATGATTCTTCATTAATTCATGCCCGACGGTGCTCGATACCGATTTTTCGCCTTCATGGATCAATAAGATAGTATCTCGGTAGTCTTTATAATTTTCATGAATTTCATAGGGATACGGAATCCCGTATTCATTGGAACTCCCTTCTACAAAGGGGCTACTCCCCCACTCTACCAAACCTTTATACAACGAACGGCAGGCACTCCCCGACCCCAATCGAGCCAAAAAAGAGGCTTCTTGGAGGGTGTTTTCAAAAGAAATAGCAGGAAAAAGTACGGCTCGCATTTCTAATAGAGCCTTCGCTAATGCTCCAAAGCCGGAGGCGGAAGATGCTATTCCGCTGCTGTGAGGAAAGGTATTTTCCGTTTCGATTTCATAGCAATACGAAGTAATAAAAGGTAAATATTCTTGGATGGAATAAAAATAGTTTTTTATCTTTTCAGCAAATTTTTGTTGAGATTCCCCATTTAACTTTACGGAAACCATCAACTCGGAAGATGTATAAAAATTCAGTCGAGTGCGTGTTTTTGAATTTTGTAACGTAAAACTTACAGAAGGATTCGCCGGAATTTGATTTTCGTATTTTCCCCAATATTTTATTAAGGCAATATTAGAAGGGCACTCTGCAACTACTTTTCCTTGTGTGATTTCACTTTCTTTTGGGGTAGGTTGAAATTTAAACGGATCCATGTATTTTATATTTTTTATAATTTTCGGTATGATGAGTTAAACTTTTTTCAATAGGAATAAATTGATAGTTCAGTTCTTTTTTTATTTTTTCATTAGAAATGGGTTGTTTGGAAAGGAGAACCTCTATCGTATTGCTATTCAATTCATTAAGCCGATTAGTAAAAAATCTCAGAGGAAAAGTCAAATAATACAAAAAGTATATCATTCCATCGGAAAGAAAAGAAGAAGGAGACTTACCTAAAATTTTTCTAATAAGGTCATTTTGTTTTTTATAGGAAATACCATCGGATACTAAAATAAATTTTTCATTAAATCTATTCTTATCCATCAATTCAATGGAACATTTTGCCACATCGTTAGCATCTACCAGGTGAGAGATTCCGGAGGTGGAAAATGCCGTTTTTTTATCATTTATCTTAAACAATAAACTACTTTTTCGTTTCCAATGATGCGAGCCTACAATCACGCCCGGATTAACTACCACTACGGACATTCCTTCTTGGGAAGCACGAAAAACCTCCATTTCTGCAGCAAATTTAGACAATCCATACGAAGAATTAGGGGCTCGATAATTAAATTCCAGTGATTCATCTATACTTTTATCTTCTTGTGTTTTCCCTAAGGCAGCAATGGAACTGATGTAACAAAACTTCTTAACCCCTGCTTCCAAAGCGGCATTTAAAAGAACAGTCGTTCCTTGATGGTTGATTCTGAAAAGTTTTTCTTTTTCCGCTTCATCAAAAGAAATATAGGCAGCACAATGATAAACTTCCTCTACCTCTTGTAAATTTTCTACCAAAAAAGAAGTATCGAATAAACTTCCTTCCACCCAAGAAATTTCACGAAAATACGCTTGTGCTTTTTCAGGATTTAACTCCTTAAAAACAGAAAAAACTTCCTGTGTAGAACTATTTTTTTGTCGCAAAGCACGAATCTTTTTTCCCTTTTCGGAAAGATAATAAAGCAAATACGAGCCCAATAAACCTGTTCCTCCGGTTACAAAAATCATTTTATTGTAGTAATTTTAGAAATTTCCATACAAAAAATATAGTTTGATTTTAAGAATCAAAAATTAAATACTAATTAGGGTTCAAAGGTAGAAAAAATTACTGAATTTTTGTTTTTAATTTGATTTACTGCAAGTAACTAAGTATCTAATAAATTTCGCACAAATAATTATTTTTTTTAATCCCTACCTTATTGATTATCAATACAATTAATGATTAATGATTTATAAGTAGCATTTGGCTTACCGTTAAATTTAAATCAATTCTTATATTTGTTGTTTGATTCAGAATAAAATTATATGAATTTTCTATTTAAAAAAGTAGATAACTCGTCTATCATTATTTTTCGAGTATTTTTTGGAGTATTGATGGTAGTAGAATCGTGGGGGGCGATAGGAACGGGATGGGTTTCTAAAACTTTTGTAGAACCTTCTTATACGTTCCCTTTCTTTGGGTTCGAGTTTACTCAATACGTATCGGGAAATTATTTTTATATCCATTTTTTTTTGATGGGAGTAGTCTCATTGATGGTGGCTTTGGGATTTTATTATAGAATAAGTAGTGTGTTGTTATTTTTTATGTGGGGATTGGTGTATTTCGGGCAAAAAATAAATTACAACAACCACTATTATTTGATGCTTTTGATTAGTTTTTTTATGTGTGTAATTCCCGCTCACAAATGGGCTTCCTTAGATGTAAAACAAGGGCGTACTCAGAGAGAAATTTCAACTTCCTACTGGACGATTTTAATTTTTATCCTCCAAATAACCTTGGTGTATTTTTATGCTGCGATTGCAAAATTTTACGTCGGGTGGATAGAAAATAAATTTCTTTCTATACGATTAGAGCATTCGGCACAATGGTTTATTCATCATATGGGATGGGAAGGTTTTGCAAATTTTTTACGAAATGTATACCTTCAAAATTTCCTAAACTTCGCCGGAATTGCCTTTGATTTGTTTATCATTCCTCTTTTGTTGTATAAAAAAACACGCCCTTGGGCATTTATAGCTACATTAATTTTTCATCTTTTTAATTCTATTGTTCTCCAAATCGGTATTTTTCCTTATTTTGCACTTTCTTTTTCGGTATTTTTTTTCAGTAGAAAATTTGTTCATCAGTTATTTTTAAAGAAAAAACCTTTTTATCACGCTTCGGAAAATGAGTATACTCCCTACAATCGTTTTATTGTATTTTTTTTCTCTCTTTATTTTTTGATTCAAATTTTTCTTCCTTTACGTCATCATTTGATTCCGGGCGATGTTTTATGGAATGAAGAAGGTCATCGGCTTTCTTGGCGAATGATGCTACGAACGAAAAACGGAAGATTAACTGTTTTTATTCACGATAAAAAAGGCAACCTTATAGAAGTCGTTAATTTGGATAATTTCCTTACGAACGAACAAAAACAAGCCGTCGCTACCAAACCCGACCTAATTTACGCTTTAATTCAACAAATAAAAAAAGAGTATAACAAAAAAGGATTAGGAGAGTATAAAATTTATGTTACTTCCCAAATTGCTATCAATGGCGGAAGGTTTCAACCGTTGATAGACCCGAAGACAGATATGAAAAATGTTCGGTGGAACTATTTTTCTCCCAACCCTTGGATACTTCCCACTCCAAAAAGTTACGATTAAACGCTTTTTTTTAGGATTAAATTTTATCTTTGCAAATGCGAATATACTAAACGACTAACTTTGATACCAAATCCATGAAATTCAATACAAAAGTAAATATAGAAAATCGAAAAGCTCGCTTTAATTATGAATTATTAGACCGATACGAAGCCGGTATTCAACTTTTTGGAACGGAAATAAAATCCATCCGACAAAATAAAGCAAGCATCGCAGAAAGTTTTTGTCAATTTAAAGCCGATGAGTTGTATGTAATCAATATGATGATTCACGAATACGAATTAGGAACTCATTACAACCATAAACCCCGTAGAGACAGAAAGTTACTCCTTCAAAGGAAAGAACTCAACAAACTTCTACGCAAAACCAAAGAAACCGGTTTAACGATAGTCCCTTTGCGTTTATACCTAAACGATAAAGGCTTAGCTAAACTTACTATTTCATTAGCCAAAGGAAAAAAAACACACGACAAACGTGAATCCATTAAACAAAAAGACATCCAAAGAGACATCCAAAGAGGAAGATTTTAAGAAAGTTAAAGATTATAAAGAAATCTTAGCATGATAGCACAATTAAAAGGAATTTTAGTAGAAATCCATCCGACGCATTTAGTGGTGGAATGTAATGGCGTAGGCTATGAACTCTCTATTTCTTTAGCGAGTTANGACGCATTTAGTGGTGGAATGTAATGGCGTAGGCTATGAACTCTCTATTTCTTTAGCGAGTTATACGCATTATCAAAATCAAAAAGACATTTTAATTTACAGTAAATTAGTCGTGAGAGAAGATGCACACCTATTATTTGGATTTTATTCCAAGCAAGAACGGGAGATGTTTAATTTGCTCATTAGTGTAAATGGAGTAGGTCCTGCTTCTGCTATGATGATGCTTTCTACCTTAAATTTAGACGAAATTGCAGGAGCTATCGGGAGCGGAAATAGTGCCTTGCTACAAAAAGTGAAAGGAATAGGGATGAAATCGGCACAAAGAATCATTATTGATTTACGAGATAAAATGAGTATCTTTGTCGGCTCAGGAGAGATTTCCTTAAATCAAAACAATAAAATTAAAAATGAAACGTTAAATGCTTTGGAGGTTCTTGGCGTTCCGAAAAAAATAGCGGAAAGACATATTGATTTGTTGTTAAAGGAAAATCCCGATAGTTCCGTAGAGGAATTGATAAAAAATATTCTAAAAAAACTATAACAATATATAAAACATATTAATGATTCTCTTAAAATATAAAAAACTAACCTATTTTTTACTTTTTACAGGAGTACTAATTTTTAATAAATTATATGCACAAGAGCCGGATTCGCTAAAATTACCTTATCCCATTCAGCCCAATGTAGAGAGTAAACTATTTCTGGAAGATCCGGTTCAAGAGGAAGCATTTTATGATGTAGCTACCGGAAAATATATTATTATCCAAAAAGTAGGAAATACCGTAGTAGGGAGCCCTTTGTATTTGTCTCCTCAAGAATATACGCAGTACCTTGCCAAAAAGAAACAAGGCGACTATTACCGAGAAAAACTCAAAGCCTTAGAGCAAGCAAATAGGGATAAGAAAGACAATACCGACTCCAAGTCGAAGAATCTTTTACCTTCTCTTACCGTTCGATCAAAATTATTCGAGACCATCTTCGGTGGAAATAAAATTGAATTTATTCCTCAAGGGTTCGCCTCTGTGGATTTAGGTATTTTATACCAAAAATTAGACAATCCTTTAATCCCTCCTCGAAACCGAAGTAATTTTACCATTGATATTCAACAGAGAATCCAACTTAGTTTAACGGGAAAAATCGGGAATAACCTCCAATTAAAAGCCAATTACGATACACAAGCGGGGTTTGCTTTTGAAAATCGTTTAAATTTAAAATGGAAACCTGTAGATTTAATCAATGCTCCAAACATCCCCAATGGCGTAAAACAAGGCGAAGATAGAATCATCAGAAATATAGAATTCGGAAATATCAGTATGCCACTCAGTACTTCTTTAATCACAGGAGTACAATCTCTTTTTGGGATTAAAACGGATTTACAATTCGGAAAAACCGCTGTTACCGGAGTCTTTTCCGAACAACAATCCGAATCAAAAAATATCGTGGTACAAAACGGAGGACTTTTAAATACCTTCAAAGTAGAAGTTCGAGACTACGAGGACAATCAGCACTATTTTTTAGCTCATCATTTTGCCAATAATTATGACCGATGGTTAGGGAATTACCCGCTAATTACTTCTAAAATAAATATCATCCGCTTGGAAGTATGGAAAATTGATGTAGGAAATACCTATCTTCAACAGCAACGTTCCATCATCGGGATACGGGATTTAGGAGAATCTCCCAATCCTACCACTACCCTCCCCAATAACTCTCTTGAAAACTTATACTCTCAAGTTTCCACTATCCGAAACAACGCAGGAGATAATTCTTCCCTTATAGAAAGTCAATTACAAGGATTATTTTCAGGCATTACTCCCTCCGACCCCAATTACCGAAATGGAGAACATTACATCGTTAATCGTAAAGTGCGAAAATTAAATCCAAACGAGTTTTATTTCAACACTCAATTAGGGTATATCTCTTTAAATCAAAAACTTACCGACGACCAATTATTAGCCGTATCTTTTCAATACACCACCAACGACGACCCCAATACCGTCTATAAAGTAGGAGAATTTGCCGAAGAAACCGATAAATTCATAGTCGCAAAACTTCTCAAACCAAACAATAATGTAAGTACCGCAACTCCCATGTGGGATTTGATGATGAAAAACGTTTATCAGCTCCCGAGTTCGCAATTTACCAAAGACCAATTCTTTTTAAATGTATTTTTTAAAGATGAAACGGGAGCGAAACTTAATTATCTTCCCGGAGTACAGGCTAATAAACCCTTAATCAAAGTATTAAATTGGGATCGATTAAACATCAACGGCGACCTTGCTACGGAAAACGGAATTGTAGGAGGAGGAGACGGTATTTTCGACTATGTTCCCAACATCACGGTTTTCCCTGAGCGAGGAAAAATCATCCATACCAAAAGAACTCCTTATGCGGATAATTCATGGCCCACAGAATATCAATTTACTGATTTATATACCAAAATTAAAGCCGAAGCCTTAAATAACAAATTAGCTACCCGCTATACCCTCGAAGGACGTTATACCGGGCAAG